GCTACAGCCTTAAGCATTCGCAAACAGAAATTAACCAACTTCTGGTAGGACAAGCCATGCAATTTATCTCTGAAATCCTGAAGTTTTTTACCCGGGCTTAGTTGGAGCTCCTGACTTCCATTTGAGCTGGACGTAAGTCCCGTAGTTGGAATCACCACATCCCAAGGAGAATCACTCATCAGAAAAGAACAAGAGGAAAATTAGAGTTGCATCGGTGCAACCAGCTGAGCCTGGAGGCCAAAATTATTTTTTCATATTTAATTGTTCTTTTTGTTATAAATTATTAGTTAGAATAATTAAGCCACGAGATTTTTAACTGTTGCATACGAAAAAAAAGATTAGCTTTTAAACTCGGGTTACTGTTCAGAAACTTTTCTTTTATTGCCTACAGTCGTGTGTAGGTAAACAGGCGTGAGCTTTATGGCGGCAAGAGGAAAATTAGAGTTGCATCGGTGCAACCAGCTGAGCCTGGAGGCCAAAATTATTTTTTCATATTTAATTGTTCTTTTTGTTATAAATTATTAGTTAGAATAATTAAGCCACGAGATTTTTAACTGTTGCATACGAAAAAAAAGATTAGCTTTTAAACTCGGGTTACTGTTCAGAAACTTTTCTTGTATTGCCTACAGTCGTGTGTAGGTAAACAGGCGTGAGCTTTATGGCGGCTGTCCAAGAATCTCCAATGCAGCCCGCCCTGTAATTTCTCAACCTGTGCCTTTTTTCTTATTCAATTCACTCCATTCCCAATCCATTAGTCATGGACCAAATTCCTCCTTCATTCCATTCTCAATCCGTTAGTCATGGACCAAATACTATCACGATCAAGATTGAGATGGAAGGAATGATAATATTTTGAACAAAAACTTTTTAGGTCATAATGCGACTATCATATCACGATATTATTACTGATTGTGGTATGATGTTGATATGATAGTGATCTAATATGATGTTGGTATAATAGTGATATATAATGTTATTATGAGATCTTATGTACAAAATAATTTTATGACATGGTTTTATTATTATACCAAACACTACAAAATATTTATGTAACATCATTCTATAACAATTACGTAACTTAATACATTAGGTAAATCTTACAGAGTGATAGTTATTTTTTATGCAACAATTAAAAAAAACATACAATATAAGTCTAAATGAATAAGAAAATACACAATAATTTTATGACATGGTTTTATTATTATACCAAACACTACAAAATATTTATGTAACATCATTCTATAACAATCACGTAACTTAATACATAAGATATATCTTACAGAGTGATAGTTATTTCTTATGCAACAATTAAAAAAAACATACAATATAAATCTAAATGAATAAGACAATACACAAACTTTTGGAGAAAATAATTTCTTATGTATCAATTGACCAAACATATCACATAAGTCTTTCACGTATGAAAATTCCTAAATTAGTTACTAAATTTTTTAGAATCTCATCAATTGCTTTACAAATTTTTTTTTTAAGGTCCATTATTTTTACATAACAAGTTAATCAAATGTGATACATTTTTTTCACATATTATTAACTAAAGTTCTTTATTATTGCCTATTATATTCAAAATCTCCTCAATTTGCATTGCATGAATTAAAACTTTGGTAAAATAGTTGATATTTTATAATATTTTAATCAAATGTGAAATCTGTAACTTGATTTTATTATTGGACCACACATTATGGTAGATTACGTAACGCCGTTCTATAACAGTTCTTCAAATATACTATATATGTAAAACTTATGAAGGTTGAAGAGATAGTTATTTCTTATGTATCAATCAAACAAACATGTTACCTGAGCCTTCGGTAATAATTAAGATACTACTTAAAACTTATGAAAGTGATTTACTTCAAATATTTTGTGAATTATTTTATTTTAACTAAACAATTAAATAAATGGATGAAATTTTATTGTCAAAATAAATAGTTAGTTTATAACCGCCGCGAAGCGCGAGCCAAAAAACTAGTCTTAATAATGCCACTTAAAGTACAAACAAAATTTAGAAAATTTTCATATAAATACCATACTTTCAATAATTACATGAATATTCTATACTATTGGAGGTTAACGTCTTCTTGTTCCAAGGGTTTACGTTGACTATTTGATTTAATAATTGACCTAGCAAAGTTCAAGCTACGTTTGATCCTTATTTATGTGGCACTTCAGTTTCTTCCACGTCAGGGCCACATCGTATGAAATTACTTAGGTGAGCAAGGGGTTGGGGTAATGGTAATAGCACTACACTTAACTTTAGAGGTTCTATGTTCGAATTCCTTCAATAGCACTTAATTATAAAAATCAATCTATTTCTCAAATATCTAAAAAAAAATTGCTTATTTTAAACAATCTTTATCTTGAAACCCAAATCACTTTTACTCTTTTTTTTATTCACATCGAGCTTCCCTTCCCTACCAATAAGCATTTCTCCCTTAATTCTCTAGTAGAAGTGATAAAGTTGGTGTTGGCCTGAAATGATAAAGCCGGAGGCATCGAACGGGGATTCGGCTTTGGGTTGTTGCTTCCCTTTGTCGGCTAAGTACAAACTCATTAATACTGATTTTATCTCGATTTTGTTTCCACTACATTGTAGAGGGTTTGGGTTTAGGTCTCAATTCTTTTCTTTGCATTGATCAACAATGGAGGCATCACCGATTTACTGAGAGAGAAGTAGAGTCTCTCTACTAGGAGTTTCATCTAAGGACCCATTCTCAAGATGCATTTCATTTTTTGCACGACAATTTCAAATTCGACTTCAATATTCTCAAGGGTTAATATTTTCGTGTGGCCTGAACTTTGACCAAAATAAACATTCTGAACAATCTTTTCGATCTATAACATCCTGGCCCGAACTATAAACCATAATAAACAATTTGGCCAAACCCGATGTTTGACCGTTAACTTGGACGGTCAAATGCGTTGACTAACAGTCAACGCGCCACGTCACTACCACGTCACTGCCAAGTCAGAAGATCTGATAAATATTTAATTTTTTTCGTTTTTTATTTTGGTTTAACTAAGGTATTAGATGATTTTTTAATTTATAATAATTTAAAACTAGGGAATGTGTGGAAATTGTGAATTATTTTAAATATTTTATGTTGATTTGGCGGTGACATGGTGAGTTGACTAACGGTCAACGCGTTTTGACCGTCCAAGTTAACAGTCAAAAGTCGGATCTGGCCAAATTGTTTATTTTGGTGTATAGTTCGGGCCATGATGTTATAGATCGAAAAGATTGGCCAGGATATTTATTTTGGTCAAAGTTCAGGCCATACGAAAATATTAACCCTATTCTCAATTATCATTCTTGTTTTCTAGTTGCTCGAGGTCGTTTGGAGGGTTAATTGTCAATGTAGTATATGTAGAGTCAAATAACTCATTTATTGTTCATGTAGTATTTTAGTGTTATTTTAGTGTTAATTGAAATAAAGTGTCTCGCTTGATAGAAACATGCAAATGTGGTATTTGAAATGTTAGATTTGGTAAAAAGTAAAAACAAAGTGGTAGAACGAGTTATTTAGAAATAACACCGGGGTATGGGTTATTTCAAATTACTTATTTTGAGTTATTTGTAAATAACTCACTATACAAATAACTCATTTCTACTGTAAAATGTTGTCAACGAGTTATTTGTGTCCAAATAACTCAATAATAACACATAATACTCCATCAGGGGTCGCTTGGATGGGTTAATTGACTTAATTCCCAATTTGGTATTTGTAAGGTTAAATAACTCTGGGGGTATGAGTTATTTCAAATAACTTGTTTTGAGTTAATTGTAAATAACTCACTACCCAAATAACTCATTTCTGTAAAATGCTGCCAAACGAGTTATTTGTGTTCAAATAACTCATTGTGAGTTATTTTAACACAAATAACACATACAAATACTCCGTCAATTTATTTTGTATGCGATCCGACTTCAAATAATGAGTACACCAATTATAAATTGGAACTTCCCTAAAAGAGAAAGTGATAACTTTAATACCAAAAAATTTGAAAGTAAAATGTAGCATGTAACCTAAAGTTATTCTTCTTTGTGCCCCAAGAGAAACTCTTAACATAATCAAATGGATAAGTCAAATTGCATCCCCACGTTATTTGGAAGCACCAAAAACTGTTTAATCACATTCAGTCATACATTTTTTGGTACTAATTATGAAATGGATTTTTAACCAAAAGAAATTATCTTACACACCATGCAACTAATCGATCAATATGTTCACGCGACCACGCCACAATCCATCTGGCGCCAAATTCAAATTATTGATTACAAACAAACAAAATTATTCCATGTCACCAACACATTGATGGATCCAATATTCCACATCTGAACTCACAACCTTTATATTTCTTTTCCAATTTCCACGTAACTCAAATCATCAACTCCACAAATTTCTCAAAAAATCTAACTAAAGTAACTCCAATCAAGACCCTGATACGATCTATGAAAAGTTCATTCATTTGCCATGTAGCTCACGGTAAAACTACCCAGAAGGAGAGACCACGAAGGTTCAATATTGCAGCTGTAGTCACCCATTTCCGACTACAGTCTCCACTGTAAGACATCACAAATCGAAAAAGGAGACCATGAACCACTACTTCAATGAGTTATACAACAACAACGTCTAGCATTAACAACATATCCCCCCTAGCTTCCCAATCAGTACAACTACAGGAAACAAATTCTTCATCCTCTGTTTTCTGAGAGCTCACAGGACCAATCGGACTTTCAGCTTGCAAAATGTGCAAGTACTGGGGATGATGCAGGAATCATGGTTTAGTAATCTGCATGAAGAAAATGAATCTGAGTTTAGTTCACCATCAAAGGAACCTAGTCACGGAAGATCACGGTGATGAGAAAAGGAAGACATTTGTAGGCTGTAGTAGCCATCACAAATTCACAATCTACTGTCACATAATCACATACATGTAAACCAACATTCCATATCGAGTTCGAAAAGAAGAGCATGGTTTCGTTAGACGGATGGACCCACCATAGTAACTCGATCGCCATAGTCAATTCTGGGAGCAGAGCTGCCGAAGAAGTAAGCAATCAGAACCTGATGATCAACAGTTATCACGGCCCTGGCTTCCTTATGACGCAAAGTCAAGGACTTCAATCTTCGGAAAGGCGAAGGTGGACCTCTCAACAGCCGACAAGCACTACAGAATGCCTAAAACCAGAGCGTAAACCAAAACAACATGAAGAGGATAAGCTTTTCTTTCAACCCACGTAACAAAGGTCAAAGAGCAAGAACAACTTCCATAAACAGGTGCAATATATAATATGAGTTTGTGCACTAATATAGTTACCAGGGAACTTACCGTGGTGGTATCAATTTTGAAGACGAGAGATTCCGCTCGACGCAGACCATGGATTAACTTTGCATACTGCTTCTGTGCCTTTCTCTTATTCCGGCCAACGGGCAAATCTTCGTATCCCTCCAAGTCGAGAGCTGCATGCTGTAAGGCTGGAGCGCGCAATGAGACTTTTGTTGGCAGAGAAAATTCGTCAACCCCATCCTTAAAAGTGAACGATGTAAGCTCGAGAGCTGAAACTCTGATCTCGGAGAAACCAGTTAGATTGTTCAGTTCCAGAGTCAGCAACTGGGGTCCATTTACTACCAAGATGGCGGTATAATCATCAGAAAGAGGCCAATCTTCCTCAAGCATACGGCGGCCGCAAGAACTCAGGCTCAACTGCTCCAACGCTGGGAGATCAGCAAAAGGGTCGAGTTCCGTCTCGCCAAGGAATTCAAAGCAGACTCCGTTCAAAGCCAATTCTCTGAGTACTCTGAACCCGGACCAGGACTCCCGCCCAAATTCCGGTACAGAAAACTTGAATCCGTCCAACTCCAGGTTCTCCAGCGACCCTCCACAAGTGGAGATTGATTGGAAAACAGTGTCCGATTGATCAAAGTACTCCATGAATAGATAGGAGCCGAAAACCCGCAAATCCCAAAGCCCAAGTGAAGCCGCGCGTTGCATGAGTTTATGAAAGCTTTGGGTATCGGTTTTGTCCGAGAACTGGAAGCTGATCATGAGAGACTGAAGCATTTTTTTTTTTTTCCACCCACAGAGATCCCCCACCACCTGCTCGACAAAATGCGGCTTCGAAAACTAGCCTTGGCATCCAAAATAAACAACGCAAACAAACAAGATTCAGTGCATATTCCAAAATCACATACGTCAATGAATCAAAAGGATGCACATAAACCTTCCGTTAGGTACTAAGACCTTGTTCGAACAAAGCACAGAAAGACTCACAATCTTGGACATAACCTTCGAACAGATGGAGTGCATAATTCAAGAACTGTAACCAATCAATCTCTGAAACAGAGAAAGAGAGAGGAGGAGGTGGTTACCTGGACGAGAAACTGGTTGAGAGAGGGAGAAAGCTTCGAGAGGAAACGGAAAGAGAACTGGATTCTGGAAACGATCGCGTGATCTGTTTTCTCGCTGCACCGATCAACTCGTCACCGCCGGCAACTTTGAGAGGAATAGTAGTTGACGAACGGAGGGAAAGAGGACGTCGTCGCTCTTCGTCGCGACCGTAACGGAAGAAGAAGTGAAAGGGAACAGGGGAAGGTTAGGCAAAAATGTGAATAGACTGCACGGAGGCGGTTGGCGGGAAAATTTTGCTTTTCGTCACTTTGGGTTTTGGAGGCAGAGCGCAGAGGAGTGAGAACGAGTAGAAGAAGAAATGGCGACGTGACGGACGTTTTGATTGGATGGTAGGGACGGACGGCGTGAGGTGCTTCATATCTTCTCTCTCTCATTTATTGGTTTTTTTTTTTTATAACGACAATGAGCCCAATCCAGCCCACAAATTCCTTCGGCCCACCTTGATGCGCCAAGTTGGGTAACAGGCCCGCGTCACCACTCACCAGGCCTGGCTTCTCATTTAGCATGAGAAATTTCTTGTTTTTTAAGGCAAAATACACAGCCTGAGATCAGGTGACTAAGGAGTAAGGAGAGTCCTTTAATCACATGGTTAAGTGAATTTTAGCCATTCAAACTTATTAAAATTCAAGGGTTTCAAATCATATCTAATGAAGAACAATTTAATAATTGCATTTTTATTTTTTATTTTTAATTATAAAATGAATAAAAAAAAATTCCAGCATCCCATCTCCATCCCCTTGCGCCGGCTAGTCACAGCCTCCCGTCTCCATCCCGGTTGCTTTGTGGGCAATTGCCGACGGTGGTCATTTCCGGTCAGGGGAATTCCAGTTGTTTTCTGGGGAATTTCTCATTCTGTAACCGACGGGTGTATTGAGATAGGAATAAGAGTTGAGTGACTAGATTGGATATTTGCCACTTTGTATAAATAAGAGACCGCGAGAGCCGTTGTAACTACTTTTCAGCTAATAACAACTTTACTTTCCCTCTCCTCTCTTTCTCTCTCTCTCTCCCTTCCCGAGCTCTCTCTTCTCTTCTCTGATTCTTCCTCTGAAATTCTCTTCTCATCCCTCTAATTCCTCCATTGCCGAGACATCCGATCCTTCTAGTGGTGACAAGGTGGTATCAGAGCACTGTCTTGGTGTCGTCTTCTTCTTATTCGTCTTCTTCTTCTTCGATGGCGAGCACCAGAGGAACTATTGACGAACGACTCACGGCTCTACTTGCGTCCACAAATCAGGCGCAGAGCGATCTCGATGACAGAATCACCAACGTTCAGGGCTTGATGACCTCTCAGGCGGCTCAATTCCAAGAGATCCGAACTCGTTCCGAAGGTCATTCACAGCAATTCGTTACTTTGACAACTCGTTTGGACTCGATGGAGGCGAACTCGACGACGCGTTTTGCTGAGCTGGAGACGAGTTCGGCAACTCGTTTGGCGGATCTGGAGGCGCGGCTCGACGATCGTTTTGGTCAATTCACCCACGAGATTCGTAATATGCTACAAGTTCTGGTTCCTCGGCCGGCGGGCGTCGTTGCCGGTGCGGTGGCGCCACCGCTTGACAGAAATGCGCGGGGCATTCTTCCTCTACCTAATCAAGGCTTCAGAGGGCTAATCCAGTCTTGGTGCAGGCACCGAGGCCTCACATTCCGGTCAATCCAGTAGCTGAGCGGGATCATTTTCCAGATCACGGGTCAGGTAACCAAAATCAGTTTCACCAGCTTCCTCGACTTGATTTTCCGTCCTTTAATGGTGATGATCCTCGAGAATGGACGCGGAAATGCGAGAAATTGTTCGACATTTATGGTATTCCTCATGATCAGAAAGTTAATTTGGCGGTGATCTATTTTCAACGACGAGCGGATCTATGGTTTGAAGGTTGGAAAATTGGTCGACAGGAGCTGAATTGGGAGGAGTTTGTGGCAGCGTTGTGCCAGAGATTCGGGAATCGAACGTATAGGGGTGTAGTGGCGGAGTTCAATAAGCTTCGTCAACGTGGTTCTTTGGCTGAGTATCAGGAGAAGTTTGAGGAACTGCGTTCTCTAATGTCTCGTTCAACCCTGCTCTTGATGAGATCTACTTCATCAGCAGTTTTATCAGCGGCCTTGAGGAGGAACTGCGTCCGGTCCTCCATATGTGGAAACCCCAGACTTTAGCGGATGCATTTCAGTTCGCCCAATTGGAGGAAGCTTCGAACTTGGCCCGTCAAAAGAAATGGCGTAGCACTCAAGAAATGTCCTCTCGTCCTATGGGGGCTACTACGAGCACCAATTCCACACAGCCTCGCCGCTGGGATAATGCTGCTCCTGCCAAACAGGTTGGCGTTCTTAAGCCTCCTATGTTGAACCCGAAGAATAATGGAACAAGGGGTGTTTGCTATAAGTGTGGGGATCGTTATTTTTTTGGCCACGTTTGTGATGCAAAGAAACAGCTTAACAGCTTGCAAGCTGAGAGCGAGGATGGCATGGCTGATTCATGGCCCAGTCCAGATGAGGATGAATTGGTGGATCCTGCTATGGTGGAGGATCAACCAGAGTTGGAGGAGGTATCAATGCAGGCATTAAACCGTGGGGGAATGGCTAATTCACTCATTGTCCAAGGCAAGGTGAAGAGTGACAAAATTTTCATTTTGGTGGACACAGGGAGTACTCACACTTTCCTGAGTGATAGGAAAGCAAGGGAATTGCATTGTCAACTGGTTCCAGCAAGCAATCCATTGAGAGTGAAATTAGCAGATGGCACAATCTTACTCAGTAACCTAGTTTGTAAAGGATTCTGTTGGGAGATGCAAGGGCACACTTTCCAGTATGACATGAGGATCCTGAGTTTAGGATCCAATGATGTTGTGATGGGATTGGACTGGCTAAAGACTATTATCCCAGTTAAATTTGACTTCATTGGGTTAAAACTATTCTTTGAATGGCAGGGTAAGGAAGTGGAGTTGTCAGGCATTCAGGACTTGGCACAGTGTAAGCTGATATCAGGGAAGAGCCTGCAGAAGTTGTGGGATAAATCTGAGATTGTTTTCATGGGCCAAATTTGCAGGTTACAGGCTGTGGACCAGATGGCTAGCCTAAATAACATGAGTATGTGGAAGGATCAACCACCTGCCTTCTTGGAGCCAATCTTACATGAGTTCAGTGATGTTTTTGGGAAACCACAGGGCCTCCCACCTGCCAGAGACTGTGATCATACAATTCCTCTACAGCCAAACTCTCAGCCAGTCAACCTCAGGCCCTACAGGTATTCCATACCACAGAAAGATGAGATGGACAGACTGGTCAAGGAAATGCTGGAGTCTCAATATATTCAACACAGCAAGAGTCCCTATGCTTCCCCAGTGTTACTAGTGCTTAAAAAATATGGTTCTTGGCATTTTTGTGTGGATTACAGGAAGCTTAATGACCTCACTATTAAAGATAAGTTCCCTATACCTGTGATTGATGACCTGTTGGATGAACTCAGGGGGTCCAAGTATTTCACCAAGTTGGATTTGCTGTCTGGTTATCATCAAATCAGGATGAACCCCTCTGACCAACACAAAACAGCATTCAGGACTCACCAAGGGTTATATGAGTTTACTGTAATGCCATTTGGGCTTACAAATGCCCCTGCAACTTTCCAAGCACTCATGAACAAGATCTTTACCCTCACCTCAGGAAGTTTATCCTAGTGTTCTTTGATGATATACTGATATATAGTCCTAATCAGGACAGTCATAAGGAGCATCTGGCTGCTGCCTTGTCTATCCTCCGAGAGAATTCCTTGTATGCAAAGCCCTCTAAATGTGCATTTGGCCAAACTCAGATTGACTATCTGGGTTATATCATCAACCAGGAAGGAGTGACCACTGACCCTGCCAAGATAGAAGCAATGGTGAATTGGCCTGTTCCAAAAACAGTGAAAGAACTGTGTGGATTCCTTGGTTTGACTGGATATTACAGGAAGTTCATAAGGAATTATGGAGTGATAGGCAAAGCCCTCACTGATCTATTGAAAAAAGACTGTTTTAAGTGGATAGAGGTGGCACAGGAGGCTTTCACAGCTCTCAAGACAGCAATGGTCACTGCTCCCGTGTTGGCTCTTCCAGATTTCTCTCAACCTTTTGTTTTGGAGACAGATGCTAGTGAGTTTGGTATTGGTGCCGTCCTATCTCAGGGAGGCAGGCCATTAGCCTATCACAGTCAGGCTTTGGAGCCAAGGAAACAAGGCCTTTCCACTTATGAAAAGGAATACCTAGCTGTCATTTTAGCAGTGACTAAGTGGCGCCACTACTTAGAGGGCAGGCCATTCAAAATTGTGACAGATCATGAGAGTCTCAAACACTTATTAGGCCAGAAGATTCACACTCAGATACAAAAGAAGGGGCTGGTGAAACTCTTGGGGTTGGATTTTGAGATCCAATACAGACAAGGCAAGTTTAATCAGGTAGTTGATGCCCTGTCTAGGCATCCTGATTTTTTTACCCCTATAGCAAAATTGGGGGAGTGTTGTCCTATCTCTGCTGTATTGCCTTCCTGGCTTAGTGAACTGGAGTCTACCTACCCTGGTGATCAGGAAGTTCAACAAGTGATGGTTGAGGCTGCCATTCCACTGATTGGTCCTAAACTCTTCTGGATTCATCAAGGACTGCTCTATCACAAAGCTGCCATCTATGTGGGTTCCACAGGTCCTATGAGGCAACAATTACTTGGGCTGTTTCATGACTCACCAGTTGGAGGCCACTCTGGAGTACAAGCCAGTTATCAGAGAATTAAAAGGTATTTTTGGTGGCCTGGTATCAAATCTGATTTAAAGAACTATATCTTGCTGTGTGATGTGTGTCAGAAATGCAAGGTAGAAAATATTCCCTACCCTGGTCTATTACAGCCACTTCCCATTCCAGATCAAGCCTGGCAACACATCTCTATGGATTTTGTGGAGGGCCTGCCTAGTTCTCATGGCAAAGAGGTTGTGTTAGTGGTAGTAGACCGTTTTTCAAAATATGGACACTTCTTTGGGTTATCCAAACCATATTCAGCAGTGACAGTGGCTCAAGTATTCTTTGATGGTGTGTTCAAGTTACATGGTATGCCTGTCACCATTGTTTCAGACAGAGATGCTATCTTTACTAGTTCATTCTGGACCAAACTCGTTGAGTTACAAGGGGTTAAACTACACTACTCCACTGCCTATCATCCACAAACAGATGGTCAGACTGAAAGGTTGAACAGGTGCCTAGAGGAGTATCTGAGGGGCATGGTTCATTTATGTCCTCTTCAGTGGGCCTCCTGGTTGACTCTTGCTGAATGGTGGTATAACACCAACTTCCATAGCAGCTTACAGGTTTCTCCATTTGAGGCTCTTTATGGCTACTCCCCAGCTCAATTTGGCATCCAGAATCCCCTTTCCACTTCAGTAGCAGCAGTTGCAGAAAGGCTGCAACAACAGCACAGACTGATTGACATCCTTCGCAGTAACCTGGCCAAAGCACAGAACAAACAGAAACAGATGGCGGATGCTCACAGAACTGAAAGAGTGTTGCAGGAAGGAGACCTAGTTTACCTCAAACTTCGTCCTTATCGCCAAACTTCAGTAGCCAGCCGAGCAAATCAGAAGCTTGCTCCTCGATTCTTTGGTCCATTCCCTATCATCAAGAAAATTGGTGATGTCGCTTACAGGTTGCAATTGCCAGCAGACTCAGCTATCCACCCTGTTTTCCATGTATCATTACTCAAGAAGGCCAGAGTTAAGTCACAGGTGCCAGTGCAGCCACTATTGCCTGAAGTCGATGACAAAGGAGCTCTCAAGTTAGCTCCTGTTGCCATTCTGGCCAGGAAGATGGTGGCCAGAGACAACAAACAAGCAACACAGGTCCTTGTGCAATGGTCTCTTCCTCTGAAATTCTCTTCTCATCCCTCTAATTCCTCCATTGTCGAGACATCCGATCCTTCTAGTGGTGACACATTCTCCCCTCCAAGCTCATGCGCCATTTTTATAAGCTCAACACTCAAGCTCATGGGCAATTGAGGTAACCCAGCCAGCTCATCTCACGGCCCAGTCCTCGGCCCAGCCCACGCGGTTACGAACTTAGCATGGCCAAGAGCCAATTGTGTAACTCGTGTAACCCTAGTAGTCCTCGGTTCAGTTGGTCCCAATAATTCGAGTTGTTGGAAGAAGGTTTTGTTAGATCTTATACAGGCCCATGTATGGTACTTAACCACTTCCTTACACGCCCCCTCAAACGAAAGCCGACTCATGGGCTTGAAGTTTGCACAGGCCCGCCATACCATGTGCTTGAAAGACAACGGTTAATATTGAGGGTCGTGAGGACTTGAACACGTGACCTCACGGACAAACCAGCTCTGATACCATGTAAAATAACCTAACTATCGTGTGGAAACGTAAGAACAAGATCGATTTACGGGGTATTCCCGTATGTACGGGACTAGTCCACGGGAGAGGAATACCTCTCCAATTGTGTAGTATTTTATTGATGATTGATGTTTTAGCCGTCGGCTATACACAAATATTTATACCCTATACATCTGTCTACTAGGGTTACAGGAGTTACACAATTGGCTCTTGGCCATGCTAAGTTAGTAACCGTGTGGGTCGAGGACCGGGTTACCTCCAATAATTTTTTCTTGGAGAGAGAGAGAGAGAGAGAGAGAGAGAGAGAGAGAGAGAGAGAGTTCCGGAGGCTTTCCCGGCGATGGCGAGGGAGTCCAACGACTGGACATGGCATATATGAATTTTCCGACGACGGTGATGGATTCGTGATATTTGTCGACCTATTTTGTAATGTTTATCAGTTCTGTTTGTAACGTTTATCATTCTACTTTGTTATTTTTATCTATTATGTTTGTAATGTTTATATGACTATTTTGTACTTATTGTAAAATGTAATGTTTGTTTGTCTATTTTGTATACTTTTATGCTATGATTTGTATACTTTGTATTAATTGGTTTGTAATAAAAGTTTGCCAATTTGTATTGTAAATAGTGGTATTTTGTATGGTTAGTACGCTTTGTACTATTTGTCGGTTTCTTTTGTAATGTTTGTAAGCATTATTATTTTGTAATTTTTGTCGGTATCTTTTGTAATGTTTGTAAGCTTTGTTATTTTTGTCAACCATATTTGTAATGTTTTTTATGTCTAAAAAACAACCTGGTTGACTTTTGGATGAAACTCATCTATATAGAAATGGAGCCTCCAAAGTCAACCCGGGTGTTTTTCCATTTTGTATGGTTTGTCGGTCTAATTTCTCATTTTTGTCCACCATGTTTGTAATATTTGTATGTAAAAAAAACCGGGTTGACTTTGGGACGGTGCCCTTCTATATAGGGATGGAGACTCCAAAGTCAACCCGATTGTTTTTTCCATTTTGTATGGTTTGTAATGTTTGTCAGTTTAGTAAGCTCCAACCTTGCATGTGTGTTTGAATTTTCAACCAAATTGGTCATATTCTTGGCCCAACCTTCTGACAAGAATATGAAGTTCATATTTTTTTATCTCGACCATCCGGACGGGTCACCGCAGAAGGAGACCCGTGAGCATCAGGACTTTCACTTTCACCGGATGCATTGGTGATAAAGAGCTAGCTGGTCATTGGTGGAATGGGTGATACCGGCTAGGAAATAGTTCCATAAACTTTGGAGACTTGTGGAGTATATCCCAATAATGCTTCAACTTGAATTTTTTCCGGTATCCGCTATGAAATTTGTTTTTGCTCTTTCAACTTAGACAATTAAGGCATGTATAATATTTATGAGTATAAACTACATAATTAAAGGAAAAATCAAACATATGATAATAATTATTAGAACTCAACTAACCTCATCACTGAGATTTTCTCCAGTTATTGGCATCACGCTTGCTCTCCTTGACGCCACATTCCACGACCCACATTGATGGCATATGGTCCCCCATCGAGCAATCAAGGCCCCATCAAAACACGGAATTCCTCATCCTTTAGCAGCATAAGGGACTCCAACTCACCTCCAAAACTCATGCCCATATTGATAATGACCGATAGAACCATCCTCTGAAATTTCAATCCAAGCCTTGCACAAAATCTCATCTTCGGACTCCTTCCAATTTGGTGGGCGAATAGGTTGAGACATGATCACGAATTTGGGAATAAGAGAAGTTTTAATTTTTTTAGAAGAATATATAATTTATTTATGATGAGAATGAGAGAATAAATTGGAAGTGATGAAGTTGAAGTGAAGAAATATGGTGTATAATATAGTAGTCAGTAGAGGTGATAGTCGGTTCGGTTGTGGTTTCATTGAACCGACCGGTAGGTTAGCCGACATTGATAAGAGGTTGAACCACCCAATCGATGCCGACACCGTGTTACTCTCACAGTTAGCTTACATCGACGCCCACGACTTCGGTCTGGGGCTTAACCGAGCATTTCAGAGAACAAAAAATTGGAGCTCTCTCCTCTCCGTCGGACTCTCTCCCTTTTGCCCTGTGACTCTCTCTCCTCTGTTTCCAATCTTCTACCCAACCCGTAGCCAGACTTTGAATTTATTGGGGTCCTTAAATATTTAATAATACTAAACCATGTATATCTAATGAATTTTGAGTTGATTGGGGTACTTATGTGAGCTAACATCGACGAAAGTACAGGATCCTAAACTGAAAAATCATAATAAATCCTACGTATTTAAAGGATTTTATCGCCCAATTATTTGTCAAGTGGGGGTCCTAGGACCCCACTTCTCACCACCTCCCTCCGCCACTGAATAAACCCAACAGTCAAACCTTCATTTCATAGACGATGCATATGCATGGAGGGAGGAGTTGCTGGATTTGGCCGGAGCTCTCTTTCCCATTGACAATCTTTGAATCGCCATACCTTTCGGCTTCCTCTGCTCAATTTGCGGCAACGATTGACGAGGATGGTGAGATGGAAATAGGCACCGATGAGGGGCGCCGAGGAGGTAGATGGGGGCGGCGAAGACGAGGGAGGCAATCCCAACCAAATCGACTTGCTACTACCGCCGTCGAGATTAGCGACCTTGGATATGGAGGATATTTGCCAAAGGACGAGGAAGACAACCGAAGAAGGCGAAGCAGGGGCGACGACCGAGACCCTGTCGACTCCTAATCTTTCCAGTTTCGTCCACCTCCGCAGCTGAAGAAGGCTGGGACGAGATAGAGGAAGGAAGGAGCTGGGGCGGCGAGGTCGAGATCCAGCAAAGTGATGGGCAGAGCGAGGTTGAGATTTCAAACTATGTGGTTATCATTGTTAGCAACCGACCACCATCGCTAGCAAATAACCCAAAACTGTCCAACCGACACCGCCACTACCACCCAGACCTTTTTATCGATTTTTGGTTGGCCTATAACCAACGATTTCAAATCAATTTTCGATTGGACCAGGTTACCGCCAACCGATTATCACCTCTAGTAGTGAGCCAATTCTTATAATCTAAAATATAAAGGTGGGGACAGCTCTATCTTGTAAACTAGGAATCAGGATAATTGGTTAGCTCAAAATTTGAGAGAAAGAGAGATCCCCATATCTTTTCATAATCAGTACATGGCCATAATAACTGGTCAAATAAACAATCGAAGAACATGGATCGAGCTTCACACCCATTCCTTCCCCCACTCACATGGCGGATGGATTCCTTCCTTTCCAAGAAAAAGGTATAACGGATAATAATGCCCACATTCATCACCAACGAGCAACATACACAAACACAATCCCTACGAGAAGGTATAAAAGGACACATGGAATATCCCAACCAAAGTTAAAACTTAAACATTCCAATACTAGGTACTTAGAAACCTGTTGAATGAAAGACCCCAACAAACTAGAAACTTAAGTGTCGACTAAGAACCTGCTGAATGATCAGTGACACTAAACCGAAGCACGGAAGATATGGACTTTGAGCACCTTGAAACTGATGAACTCAAACAAGCAAACATCTCCCTCAACCAGGCCATTGTCGGTGCTGAAATTGATCCAATACTTCCCAAAAACCACGCCTGCATAGTGCGGCCGAATCAGGACCGGCCATTGTCTCCCGCCTCCACCACCTCCGGCCACCTCAAACTTCATCCAACTCCCATAGCCCTTCATGTCAGCCCTTCCCAGATACCTCCGGCTGAACTCCCCAGGCAGATACTAGTACACCCATCATACATGTTACAAGATACAAGCAAGAACAAAGTCAACAAGTTTAAAGTGGCGATTCGCGAGCATATAATATCTTTTTTGTCGACTAAAACAGCATTATTTAATATAACATATTACCGGTGCATAAGACGACAGCACAAGAATGGCAGATGGATTTGCCGGCGGCCTTGCTATGGCTCTCCGAACTGCTTCCTTGCTCCTCAGTGGCATCTTCAGGAAGGTGAAGGCCTTGTGACAGGTTTCAATGTTTGACTCCATCATTTCATTCAGCAATGCATCCCACTCGGCAACAGTTCCCATCTCGGCAGCCGTTTCCTGTGGCCTGGCCTTGGCAGAGGACGAGGAAGAACCATCTCTTGGGGAAAGAAACGATGTACCCATAAAAAGCACCCCACCATCGTCATCGTCGTCACTCTCCTCGTCGTTGTGATGCTCCTCCGTGCCACCACGACTCTCTTCTTCACTCTCAGCCATGGGTGAGTCGTTGCTTCTGGGAGGGTACAAAATCTCGCAAGTGGTCTTGTCGTAGACAGCGACCTTAAACGTGGACCAGCCTCGATACTCGAACACCAGAAAGTGTCCGTAGGAGATGGAGAGGGACTCGAGGAATTCACCGAAACCAGCATCAAGCCATGCTTCAGGTGTCTTATTCCTTCTTACGTTATTCACCGTCAACCCAATGGTCCATGCTTCCGAGTTGGGTGTCTTGAGCGTCACGGTTTCCGATAGTTCATCTAAGCGGGTCTCGACGAACAACTTGGCAAGTCTCTGAACACGAGAAGAAGATGTTTGAAGTCAGAGGGGATAGTAATTATTCAAAGGAGAAACAGAGAAGATTAGTAATTTTCAAAGAGCTCTGTTTTTTGTTGTGTAAACGTACCAGTTTCTTGGTAGTCATTGTGGAATGCAAGATGATCCTGAAGAAATGGTCACAAGGCTGCTGCCACTCCATGGTGATTTTCTTAGAAAAGCCCGTCTCTCTTTCTCCTGTCACTCCAAGGAACCCAGATCTTGAAGATGGAAAGATGAGGCTAAAATGAAGACAACCCACCCAAATAAATACCCAGCAAACCCTTTTCCCAGCTCTGAAAGCTGCAAGGCCGAGAGCAGGTTCTCAGCTTTTCAGTGGTGCCAAAAGAGAAAATCATGAATATGGGTCTGCATCGAGATTGCCTTAGAACTGTCCTAAAGATCTTCTGACCAATCTACTTCTCTGAGGGGGTCCTGGGAGTCGTAGTACTAATTGTGTTTCCTTTTGACCAAGATGTTCCATTTACAAACCTAAGTAAGATCTTGTCAAGATTGAGTGGACTGACCATTGTCTTTTGTGAAGCAGCCTTCTCTCTCTGGACATCTAATGTCACTATGTCAGCCTCTTCTTTCTTTTGCAGATAAGAGGTTTTCTAATTGATTATGAAATCTGATGCAGCAAGAGGACCAGCTTTACTAAAGTTGGTGATACAAGCAATTTTCAGTGCAAGGTAATGGTTATCTAGGAAGTTGAATTACGTGTATGTATTAAACGTAACACGTGGTCTCAAACAGTAATACTTGGACTAAACAGGAAATCAAAACGATTCGTAAACTCAGACTGGTCACCTCTTTTCAAAAGTTTGACAAACAAGATGCTTTTATGTCTTTTCCTTTGGGGTGAAAATGCATTCATGTCTTCTGTCACATGCAACAAATGCAAGTGCAAGTTTAGCAAACAAGTAGAGAGTAAACTGGCTGAAGAAAAAGGTAGAGCAGGCATTTCCTTCAGTTCTACAAGGAATCATGAATATGGAGTCTGCAACGCCTGGGACTTGCTTTATTTCTTGACATAGATACCTCAAACTATTACAGAGAATTTATTTTAATCATTATTATGGCATGGGATATCCTTAGCAGCTCTGTGACCTTTTTCTGTCTTTTGGGGAAATATGATTTCGTGTCAAGGATAGGAAAATGTTGTGGTGAGGGGATTTTTACTTTTACAAATAAGCTTCATTTCCTCGCCTAGGTCGTGAATCTGCCATTAGTGTAACTAGTTCCTGTTTCTTTTCTTCATCTAGCTTGACATTTGAGGGAAAGTGAAAATGCAACGCATGATGAAATCAACAAATAGGAAAATAAAAGAATTCATATAGGCAAACAATGTTGCATTTCATGTCTAGTTGTCCCAATGAAAGTGCATGTTAACAATGAAACAGCAACCCTCAGCAACAAACAAGTAGATGTGAGTAGACATAGATACAATGCTACTACCAAACAGCATTCCCGTGACTAGTTAGTCGGATAACAGGACCAATGAAAGCACACAAACATGGACTACATATAACACAGAAGCCAACTTCCTTGCCGCAAGCCAATATTATGATTAGAGAAGACATTAGGCAGCCCAGTGAGCGTCAAAATTTTCAGATTTCCTTTTTTCATCTGGAATAACTGAATAAGCCATGCTAAAGGCAAACAGCATTGCATACCTTGTTGGCTGGTTAGAGTATTCAGTTGTGCCACCAGACTTGGCTTGCAAGAGCATGTTGTAGCCTTGTGACAGAGCTATTATGATGTGAAGCCAGCCAAGGAGATATTTGGATCTTCTTCATCAGAATCAAATTCAACCTGCATACATCAAGTAAACAGGGAAAGGAGGGAATAAAACGAACAAATCATCCAGCTTCCAAGTTCTAAATCTCTGTGTACTTGTGTTTCATGGCAGAACAAAGATTTTAGCTTGAAAAGTTTAAAGTATTCAGCACCTAGGTCCAAAGACAAATTCCAGCATACTTGTAACAATCATATTAACAATATCAATATCTTACATTTTCATCTCTGTACCATCTCCCATGGCCATCACGTTTCCATCCCGCTTCAGTAAACTTGAGCTCCCTCTCTCTATATACTGGAAAATCTGATTGCTGCTGCTTAGGGAAGCCTTGAGTCCAAGTAAATGAGCAACCATCACCATTGTTCCTTGTACTAGCAGTTGCTCCAACAGAGCTTAGATGGCAATTTTGGTTCACGGATTTGTTCTGCACCGAAATTATGTTCTTATGGAGCGAAATCACCTCAGATGCACCCTTTCCTGCTTGTTCTTTGAGTGGTCCAATAACTGCTGCCGACCTAACAGTTTTGCTGGAAATAGCCAGTTTAGTGGAGCTAACAGCAGAACTCGAGACTGATGCAGCTAACCTCTTATTCTTCTCATCACGTGTCTTCGGTTCCTTCTCCTTCAGCTTGGCCTCCGCAGCCACATGACGGGAGCCCTTACAGTGCATCTGTAAAACAACCATACAAAGAAAAGACTCAAACCTTAACATCACGAGAAGTACTAATCTATCAACCAACCAACCAACAAGGACGCCAGAACCCAAATTGCTTGCCATTGAAAATTGGGATCTTCAAATTAACCATATAAACCCAAATGAATTAGCAGGATCTCACAAGATTCAAACATGCCACCAAGCACTATGCATTCAAGTCAATCGTCCCCATTTTTTCCCCAGTCCTCCCCGCCCGATCGAGAAAGTTAGGGTTCAGAGAGAAGAAGAAGAAATTCAGGACGATTGCGAAAAATGAATAAGCAGAGGACACATGGAAGGGGTGATATGAGCTTTGATAAGGCGAATGCGCGATGCTTACAGAGAGCATGAGAGGGGAATCGAGAACGGGGTTGTGAGGGCAGACGAGGCAAGCGAACTTTCCTGACGGAAGCTTCTTGTAGGAAGATCCATGGAGGTTTTCAGTCAATAGATCGTCCACTTTCCTCTTCCTGTACTGCGCCTCTCTTCCCCAGCTGTCGCCTCCGAACACGCTCATCTCCCTTTAGCTACCAACCGGCAGGCGAAATTGCTGACAAGTCTGGATGAGAACGAAGGTGGGCTGCGGGGACTGATAATTTTGCCTGGAAGACTTGCGTCTTTCCCACCAAAACCTTCAGTCTGTGTTTTTTAAGGGCGGAAAAGGAGGGAAGGGAAAGATTAGGAAGGAAAGTGGGAATACCAATAAATTTTCCCCCGTTTTCGAAGGAGGGCATAGTAACTAGGGGAGAGAAAAGGGTGGAAAAAATCATTATACAAACCTTCCCTCCAAATCAGTGTTGTCACGCCGGTCGGTGTGCCACTGGTTGAACCTGGTTCAACCTGTACCGGTCATAAAACCGGTATGACACCACCGGTATGACCGGCATGATCGATATACGAATCTCCAAGTAAAATGATTTTATCTTCGTGAATTTAATTGATAAAAAGTAATTTATTATTTATTTTATGTGTTAAAAAGTTAAATGTTGATGTTATTTGTTGGATTCAAGTACAAATATTTAGGTATTGACGTTAAATGTCATGTTTAAATATGAGTATTTGTAAATTATTTGTAATATTAACCGGCATGAACCGGCACAAACCGGTATGTACCACCGGTCGAACCATTTCACTTGCTAAACCGGCACACTGGCACAAACCGGTTTGACAACCTTGCTCCAAATCGGAGAGAAAACGCCACTGACTCTTTTCATTTCCTTTTTTTATTTGCTTGCCCAATTAATTCTTCCACTTTTTTTTATTTGCCAGGCCTTTCCTCTCTCCTCTCTCTTAGCTATCGTCTTCTTCAAACTCCCCAAGTGCGAAACCATTCCTCAAAACAAAGATTTTCTTCTTCTTTGTCCTCACTGTGAGCTTGCCACACCTCTCCCACTGTAGAAATCATGATAAGAAACCATTATCACCTTCTCTTACATAATCAATCCAAGCTTTCTGGAATCAAACTTCTTCCTATTTCTTTTTCCCTAAATCAGAGAACTAGGGTTCAGGGATCGAAATCTTCCCTCCATCTTTCTCAAGAACCAAAGTCATCCCACAATCTTCTTATGTCTTCTTTGGGCGACCGCTCAATCTGTCGTTGGTCTCTCCTGCCTGCATCCCTACTCTTCCTCTCGTTGCTGCCATCGTCTGCTTCTCTTGTCGTTGACTACTGCTTCTCAAAATCAATCCTTGTCCCCTGCTCCTCCTCATCGTCGTTGCTCGTCAACATTCACCAATTTACAAGCTCTAGCACTCATAATTAATTTTTAATTTTGGGCTTTTGGCTTTTCTCCCTCTGCAAAGTAGTGGGCAGAAGCCACCGATTGTATTTAGCAAATTAGTGGGTTCCCTAATTATTAATGGGCTTATGTTTAGCAAATTGTGTGTTCCCTCGTTGCATTCAATTGAGGTGGTGGGCACACAACTATAATTAAAGATTGAATTGGCGAAACTGCCTTTGTGCAACTGAATCGCTAAATGTCGCCCTAAGAATTGCTAAATGTCGCCCTAACTTACAATTCAATTTACCTATATACCCTTAATGATAATTCAAAAAATAGGCCAACCAAACAGCCCTTCCACCCTCTCCCTCTGCAAAATCAACCCGCCGCCGGAGACCCCTTCATACCGCCGCCGGACACCCTCTGCATCCCGCCGCCGGAGACCCTCTGCATCCCTCCGCCGGCCCGCCAAGTTGCCGCCGCCCGCCAGTCGCCGCTCGTCCCGCCGCCGCCCGCCAATCGCCGCTCGTCCCGCCGCCCGCCTCGTCCCGTCGCCGCCCATCTCGCGCTCCACAGTCAACGCGCGGTTGAACCGACGGCTGACCGCGGTCGAATTTTTTTTTTTAATTCTGTTTTTTAATATTCTGTGTTTAAATAAATGTTATTAATAATAAAAAATTAGTTATATGATATAAAAATTTAAAAAACGTTTTCGATAAATGTTAATTAATGATAACAAATTTAAAGAAAATAATAAAAAAATTAAACATTTTAATAATTAAAATTTAAAAGTAATTCATTTATCTACTTAATTATTAATAATTTTACCTTGATTAATTATTTACTTTTATGTAAATAATGATTACATAGAACGTAACGTAAATAATTGATTACATGGAAATCTTAAATTAATTACTTTATGTACTCTATTATTAATAATCCATTATTAATAATTCAAACGAAAAAATCATAAATCATATAAAAAATAGAAAATTATTCAACGAAAAAAAAACCCAAAAAATGCCCAACCGCAAGTGACCTGCGGTTGGACCATGGCCGGACCGCAAATCACCTGCGGTTGTACCATGGGTGGACCGCAATTGACCTGCGGTTGGACCATGGCTGAACCGCAGGTGATTTGCGGTCCAGCCATGGTCCAACCGCAGGTCATTTGCGGTCCAGCCATGGTCCAACCGCAGGTCATTTGCGGTTCCTTTTTTTTTCGTTTTTCAGTTAATGTATTTACCTCGTCGGAGTCGCTACTCCGACGATATCGGCTTCAAAACGACGATGATGGATTTTTCTCTCCTTAGATAGTGTTTTTTTAGTCCAAGTGGTGTTTGTTTGATAAAGAGAAGGTAAAGAAGCTAAGGGGGTAAAAGTGTAACTTTGATTCTTTTTAGGGCGACCTTTAGCAATTTTAAGGGCGACCTTTAGCAACTCCCCTGTGCAATAGATGTTTTTCTTATACATTTTTTACCGAATAACCTAGTGTAAGAATAGATATTTAGTGTTTACTATATTTTAAGTATTGGAATTTTTTGTATTAACATTTTTCATAATTAAAAATAATATAATATTAATGCTCTATTCACGTTCTTAATATTGAAGGTCTCGCTCTCCCGCTTTTGCTCTCGCTCCGCGTACTAGTTAGCTAAGTTTAGATTAAGTAGGTTTTTTTATGGTCTCCATTGTTCAAATTAATTAAATTAATTGATATCCGATATTTGCGGTTCGACTGCCGGTACGGTTGTGTTTTTTAAACATTGTATAATTGAAGTTGAATAATTTTTAATTAATTTAGAATGCTTGATCAATTATTATAAAATTTCTATTTTTAAATAATTGATGTGGTTAAATCAAGATTATTAAATAACTAAAATCTCTATTTACTATTAATAATTAATAATATAACATATTCATCACACTTCCCAATACACACTTTCCTCCATAAAACAACATTTTCCTTCCAATTTCCTTCACCTCCAAATCTCCCCTCCCCTCCCCTCCCCTCCTAATTTTCCTTCACCTCCCCTCCTTTTCCTCTCTTCCTTCGGAAACATAGGGTTAGTCTGTGTTTTTTAAGGGCGGAAAAGGAGGGAAGGGAAAGATTAGGAAGGAAAGTGGGAATACCAATAAATTTTCCCCCCGTTTCCGAAGGAGGGCATAGTAACTAGGGGAGAGAAAAGGGTGGAAAAAATCACTGTACAAACGTTCCCTCCAAATCGGAGAGAAAACGCCACTGACTCTTTTCATTTCCTTTTTTTATTTGCTTGCCCAATTAATTCTTCCACTTTTTTTTATTTGCCAAGCCTTTCCTCTCTCCTCTCTCTTAGCTATCGTCTTCTTCAAACTCCCCAAGTGCGAAACCATTCCTCAAAACAAAGATTTTCTTCTTCTTTGTCCTCACTGTGAGCTTGCCACACCTCTCCCACTGTAGAAATCATGATAAGAAACCATTATCACCTTCTCTTACATAATCAATCCAAGCTTTCTGGAATCAAACTTCTTCCTATTTCTTTTTCCCTAAATCAGAGAACTAGGGTTCAGGGATCGAAATCTTCCCTCCATCTTTCTCAAGAACCAAAGTCATCCCACAATCTTCTTATGTCTTCTTTGGGCGACCGCTCAATCTGTCGTTGGTCTCTCCTGCCTGCATCCCTACTCTTCCTCTCGTTGCTGCCATCGTCTGCTTCTCTTGTCGTTGACTACTGCTTCTCAAAATCAATCCTTGTCCCCTGCTCCTCCTCATCGCCGTTGCTCGTCAACATTCACCAACTTACAAGCTCTAGCACTCATAATTAATTTTTAATTTTGGGCTTTTGGCTTTTCTCCCTCTGCAAAGTAATGGGCAGAAGCCACCGATTGTATTTAGCAAATTAGTGGGTTACCTAATTATTAATGGGCTTATGTTTAGCAAATTGTGTGTTCCCTCGTTGCATTCAATTGAGGTGGTGGGCACACAACTATAATTAAAGATTGAATTGGCGAAACTGCCTTTGTGCAACTGAATCGCTAAATGTCGCCCTAAGAATTGCTAAATGTCGCCCTAACTTACAATTCAATTTACCTATATACCCTTAATGATAATTCAAAAAATAGGCCAACCAAACAGCCCTTCCACCCTCTCCCTCTGCAAAATCAACCCGCCGCCGGAGACCCCTTCATCCCGCCGCCGGACACCCTCTGCATCCCGCCACCCGGACACCCTTTTTTGTATTAACATTTTTCATAATTAAAAATAATATAATATTAATGCTCTATTCACGTTCTTAATATTGAAGGTCTCGCTCTCCCGCTTTTGCTCTCGCTCCGCGTACTAGTTAGCTAAGTTTAGATTAAGTAGGTTTTTTTATGGTCTCCATTGTTCAAATTAATTAAATTAATTTATATCCGATATTTGCGGTTCGACTGCCGGTACGGTTGTGTTTTTTAAACATTGTATAATCGAAGTTGAATAATTTTTAATTAATTTAGAATGCTTGATCAATTATTATAAAATTTCTATTTTTAAATAATTGATGTGGTTAAATCAAGATTTTTAAATAACTAAAATCTCTATTTACTATTAATAATTAATAATATAACATATTCATCACACTTCCCAATACACACTTTCCTCCATAAAACAACATTTTCCTTCCAATTTCCTTCACCTCCAAATCTCCCCTCCCCTCCTAATTTTCCTTCACCTCCCCTCCTTTTCCTCTCTTCCTTCGGAAACATAGGGTCAGTAAAATACAAAATTTTCAAGTTTGAACAAATGCAGGGTTAAATAATAAAATAAAATGAAACAAAATAGTCACTCAAACGTAGTAAAATTTGGGAAATACAATTTAATATCCAAACCTTTTATTTTAAACAATATAATAGACAAATCTTTTCGAAAACAATCTAATATCTAAATCGTCAACTTTCTGTCTGTTTGACCGTTAGTTGACACTTCAAAAAAGTTTGAAGTACGACACTTCATCAATATCCATCGATATCTTCTCTGAAAAACCACCAACATATCGTAGTTCCAAACCCGAGAAGTCCATGACTCCACCATTATGGTATAAAATATCTGAATATTCAGTCATCTGCAATGCCAAAATAAGAAACAAAGTTGTATTGTGACAATTTCCCCTAAACAAAGCTTTTTTGAAGTGTCAACTAACGGTCAAACGAACGGAAAGTTGACGATTTGGATATTAGATTGTTTTCGAAAAGGTTTGGCTATTATATTATTTAAAATGAAAGGTTTGGATGTTAAATTGTATTTACCCTAAAATTTGACACTAGACATTATGGTCTGTTTAAGGGTTGTAATTTGTAAGGCTAACTCCAATCCATAAAGGGGAGTCAAATATGATTTTTTAGCTCCCCAAACCCAATTTTCACTCCAACCCTATAAAAAGCTAAATTTAGCTTTCCACTTCCCTTTTTCAATTTATTTCAATAAACCATACTTATTTG